AATGATCCTACTTTAGCTTCTTTGAGGTCACAAGCAGATAATTATGCAGTACAACCTGTGCAACAGCAAGTTAACTTTTTGTGGGGACAGAATGTCCTTTTGTATTACCCCAAATCTAACGTTAATGCCCAACCTGTTCAACAGTTGGTGGTTCCAAGAGAATACAGAGAGAAAATTCTGCAGATGGCTCATGACAACCCAAGTAGTGGACACCAAGGTGTGCAGAAAACTTTAAGTAGAATCTCCCAACATTTTTACTGGCCTGGTATTTCAAAAACTGTTAAGGACTATGTTGGTTCCTGTGATTATTGTCAGCGTACAGGCCACCAGACTGACAAAGCAAAAGCAGAGATGCAGCTAATGGAGATCCCAGACCAGGTGTTCCAATGTTTGCAAATGGACATGTTAGGACCTTTTGTTTCAACCAAATCTAATAAAAAATACGTAATCTCATTCCTGTCAAGCAAGCAGATGGATTGAGGCCTATGCTATTAGTAACATTTCTGCTCCAACTATAGCCCGTATAGTGGTAGATTTGTGCTCACGTATTGGAATACCTTCTCAAATAATTTGTGATCAAGCTGTGGCTTTTAAAAGTGAACTGATGAGGAAAATCTGTGTCAACCAAATCTAATAAAAAATACGTAATCTCATTCCTGTCAAGCAAGCAGATGGATTGAGGCCTATGCTATTAGTAACATTTCTGCTCCAACTATAGCCCGTATAGTGGTAGATTTGTGCTCACGTATTGGAATACCTTCTCAAATAATTTGTGATCAAGCTGTGGCTTTTAAAAGTGAACTGATGAGGAAAATCTGTGAGATAAGTGGAATAAAACTATCCTTCAGCATATCCCATCATCCACAGTCTTGTGGAATGATCAAGAGAGGTCAGCAAACTTTGCTTAGGATGATTAAAACTTTGGTGCAAGAATATGGGAACATTTGGGATGAACCTTTGCCTTTTGCCTTGTTTGCTTATCTTAGTGCACCATATGCTTCTTTGGGGAACTTTTCTTCAAGCGAGATTGTTTTTGGGAGAAATTTACAAGGACATTTGGATTTGTTGAAATCTGATTGGGAAGGAGTTGTAAAAAGCAGTACTGTTCCAGTTGCTGATTTTGTTAGAAAACTTCAAGAGAAACTGTTAGCTGTAAAAGAATTGGCTAAAGAAAATTTGTTAAAAACTTAAACAAAAACAGAAGTTTTACCATGACAAGAAAGCCAGACACAGGGAATTTGCTGTTGGTGATTTGGTGCTTGTTCTGAACCCACTCAGACCTTCTAAGCTGGAAGTTGTCTGGGAAGGTCCAGGAGAAATTGTTTAAAAACTTGGAAATGTCAATTACCTTGTCAAAATGTTGAATTCGGGGAAGAAACCTGTAATGTATCATGTCAATAGTTTTGAAATTGTATAGAGACAGATCTGCAATGGTTTTTCAATGTCATGTTGCATGTTTTCAATCTGTACATGAACCTGTTGATATGTTGACTGAATTGCAAAATGCAGGTACATGGTCTGACAATATTGTTTTGACAGGTACTACAGATTAAAAAGAAAAACTTTTTCACATTGTAGAGCAATTCAAAGATGTTTTTCAGACAAACCTGGTTATACTAATTTGGTCAGTCATGTTATTAACACTGACAGCAGCCAGCCTATACGGTCCCGCCCATATAGAGCTATTGGTAATCATGCTATCGAGATTGAACAAGAGATACAAAAGATGTTATCTCAGGGGTTATTGAGGAGTCTTCATCCCCTTGGGCTTCACCGGTAGTTCTGGTTCCGAAAAAGGATGCTTTGGGTGAAATTCTTGATGAAGTAAGATTTTGTGTTGATTACAGAAAGTTAAACAGTGTTACAGTTCCAGATCCATACCCATTAACCAGAATGGACGATTTAATTGAACGCCTTTCAAAGGCCAAATATATCAGCATACTGGATCTAAAAAACGCTTATTGGCAACTCGATCTAGCCGAAGAATCTCGAGATAAGACCGCATTTATCAGTCACGTGGGAACTGTTCGTTTCCGTTAATTACCCTTTGGTTTGAAGAACGCAGGAGCTTCATTCCACAGAATGATAGACAAACTTTTACATGGTTTACTAGTGCTTATCTTGATGATGTTGCAATTTTCAGTTCTGATTTTGATTCTCACATGTCTAACATTGAAATTGTTTCATCTAGAATTCAGCAAGCAAGACTGACAGTCAAAGCAAGCAAATGTCAGTGGATGCAAGGAAAGGTCACATACTTAGTTCATTTGATTGGGCAAGGAGAAATTCAGCCTCTGTATGCCAAAGTACAAGCTATTAATGATTGGCCTATTCCAACAACCAAGAAGCAAGTACATTCCTTTTTGGGCCTTGTTGGCTACTACAGAAAATTCATTCCTGATTTCAGTCATTTGGCTACACCTCTGACAGAGCTAACTAAGAAAAGACGGCCTGTCAAGGGAAAATGGACTCCAGAATGTCAAGGTGCTTTTGATGCCTTAAAGGCCAAAGTTACGGATGCACCTATACTGAAATCACCTGATTTTGACAAACCATTCATTTTACAAACTGATGCTTCCGAATTAGGCCTTGGAGCTGTGTTGTTACAGCAAGGGGAAGATGGGAATCTTTACCGAATCTCATACTTCTCCAGAAAACTCTTGGAAAGAGAGAGACATTACGCAGTTCCGGAAAAAGAGGCATTATCAATTATCTGGGCTTTAAATCTTTTGAGACCGTATTTATGGGGGCGTAAATTTACCCTCCAAACAGATCACAGAGCCTTGGTTTGGCTGCAGAAGATGAAATCTCACAACCAAAAATTGTTGAGATGGAGTCTGGCATTGCAAGACTTTGATTTTGAAGTTCAGTGCATTCCTGGAAGACTAAATGTTGTGGCAGATGGTCTTTCTAGAATGTACTGTGAAGATCCAGATGTAACTGACCGTTGAAACATTACAGTGTTGAAATATTTCACTGTTCCTGTATACTCAAAGTAATTACTGTTTTTGTATTAACTAACATGACTATTTTCTATTTTTCAGATAGTATAAGTGCTTAACCAAAAGAATGTATTGATTTGCTGCTATTAGAATGTTTTCTACCTCAATGCTTTCCTAGATTAAGTGCAATTTTGAATGTATTAATGTTAGTCATTAGCATTTACTTTATCTACCAATTAATTACTTTTAGTTACTGTAATTAGTTACCAAAATAATGGATCCCAAACAGGCTTGGCGCGAGGACACAGCCCTGTTTCACTCTGCTTCAGATGTCAAAGGGATCTGATGTTGAGCCATCAAAAACTACAGTGTCCTTAATTCCCTCATGAAAGGACCTGATGATGTTAAGGAGTTGAGGTGGACATCCAATCTTGGGAAGTATTTTAAAAAGGCCATCCCTGCTAACTAGATCAAAGGCCTTTGTGAGATCTATGAAGGCCACTAAGAGTGGCTGTTGTTGTTCCCTACATTTCTCCTGCAGCTGTCGGAGGGAGAATACCATGTCAGTAGTGGATCTATTAGCTCGGAATTCACACTGTGATTCTGGATAAACTCTGTCTGTGAGCACCTGGAGTCTTTTCAGTACAACATGGGCAAGCAGCTTCCCTACAACGCTAAGAAGGCAGATGCCACGGTAGTTATTGCAGTCATCCCTGTCTCCTTTGTTCTTATACAATGTGACAATGTTTGCATCCTTCATGTCCCGTGGTACTCCACCTTCCCTCCAGCAAAGACGAAAGACTCCATACAGTTTGGTGGTGATGATCTCTTTACAGCACTTCTACACTTCAACAGGAATGTTATCCTTTCCAGGTGCCTTGCTGGAGGCGAGGGAATCCAAGGCCGCTTTTATTTCTGCTGAAGTTGGTTTGCTGTCCAACTCTTCCAAGACAGGCAGACACTCAAGGTTATTCAGTGCTTCTTTGGTTACTACATTCTCTCTGGAATATAGCTCAGAGTAGTGTTGCACCCAGCGGTCCATCTGCTGCACTCACTCCTGGATGATCACACCTGTAGTACACTTCAGGGGAGCAGATTTCTTCTGTATAGGATCTAAAGCCTGCTTGATACCATCATACATTCCCTCAATGTTACCTGTGTCCACTGCTATCTGTATCTGAGAGCAGAGCTGAAGCCAATAATTGTTGGAACATCTCCTGGCCGCCTGTTGGACTTGGCTACGAGCAGCTCGAAGAGCCTTCAAGTTGTACCCGATAGAACAGGCTTTGTATGCTGCTAGAGTTCTCCTCTTATCCTCAATGGCTGGCTTCAGCTCCTCTGAATGGGCTTCGAACCAGTCTGCCTTATTTTTGGTCTTTTTACCAAATATGGACAAGGTGGTATCAGTATCTGTTCCCTCTCTTTCTCTTACAAACACACACACACACACACACAAAGTTACCATCATAATAATATGCTTACCAGTTATGTCCTAAATCATACACCATATTTCAATATATAGCACATTATATTACCATATACTTACACATACCTTATACTAGTTTTCTCTCTCTATGTTTACTACATCAAACATATTACTTTAAACATTTAAAACAATCCATACAATTATAAACATTTGCATTACCTTTGCATTAATAAAGACCTACTCACCATATTTTACCATCATTTTTACCTCTCAGTTCATCAACATCCAAAGTGCAAACACTAATCATATTTCATAACTCTTATATTAACAGAACATTTAATACAATATTACCAACTTTTTATTCACCCATTAGTCATTTGGTCTTCGAGACAAGGTGTCAGCATCCACACTCTGAGTCCCTTTTACACTGCAGATCACAAAGACAAAGTCTTGCAGGTTCAGGGCCCATCTTGCAAGCCTACTGTTAGTGGATTTCTTAGTTTGTAGCCACACCAGAGGGAAAAGGTCAGCGCAAAGGACAAATTTCCTTTCCCCAACATAGGGCTTCAGTGTTTGCAGCATCCAAACAATCGATAGGCATGCCCTCTCGATGGCAGACCAATGTCTCTTACCAGGTTGGAATTTCCTGCTGATCAGAGTCATTTGGTGCAGATTCCCACTGTCATCCGCTCGGCACAGCACCACTCCAAGTCCGACGCTTAATGTATCCACACAGATTGTGAACTCCTGTTTGTAGTCCGGCACAACAAAGGCCGATCTTGGAGTCTGCACTCTCTTCTGTTGACTGACAGTCATCGGGCACTCTGACGTCCACTGGATGTCCTCGGCTGACCTCTTCCGGGTTAAGACTGTTCTCTTTCTGAATAGTGGCTTAATTTTCTCACCTGGGGAAAGGATAGGCAGTTTCTTCCATTCCTCCAGCACAGGTATGTTTGCGTTCTTCCTAGAAATTTTATTGTTTTTGCCTTCACCCTCACCAATAAACTCGCACACAGGTACTTTTGTTGCAAAGCTCTCCATATGTGGGGACCACTATCACAGGTCACTTCAAGATTTTCAGGCAAGTTTCTTTTAGATGCCATCTCAAACACTTGGCTTATGTCAGATGTAATGAGATTTTCAACATCTGGTTCTTCTCCTTTAATCTCTGGTTTCTCAGGTAGGGGTTTATTCTGCAAGATTCTCAGGAAAGCTGCATGGGGAGCTTTCTTAATTCTAATCCCTTCAAATTTCCAGTCATGCTGCAACAAATCCACAGCTCCTGACCATGCCAACAGCAATTCACTCCCCTCTATGGGTCTCAGTCTCACCACTTTGTCCTCAGGACAGAATGCTCTTTCCTGGGCCTTTTCCTCACACAAGCCTTTCTCTTTTCCATGAGTACCCCCCAAGCTTGGCTCTGCTACTTCTAAGGACTTTTCCATATATTTTACAGGGCTCCAAATCTTTCTTCAGGGACTGTAATTTGCTTGCCCTGGGAGTGGGTTACCACTAAAACACTCTGCACATGCTTGGATAGATCTAACCCAATCAGACAAGGAGCAGGAATTTGGTCTGACACTGCTACTTTCCATATACCAGACCACCCTTTATAGTTCACAGAGATTTTGGCTGTAGGTAAGACCACCAACTCAGAATCTATCCCTTTAACAGAAACCTTCTCACATTCTAACATGACTTCCTTAGAGATTAAGTCAGGGTGGCAAATAGTTATCTGAAAGCATGAATCTTTTAAGGTTAAGATAATTTACACCATTGATACAAATTTTTTCAGCTGAGTTTTCTAATAGAATAGGATTGTGGCCAGAGGATTGAAAAAGATCAGTCTACATCCCAATTCCAAAGAAGGGCAGTGCAAAAGAATGCTCCAAATACCGTACAATTGCACTCATTTCACACGCTAGCAAGGTTATGCTCAAAATCCTACAAGGTAGGCTTCAGCAGTATGTGGACCGACAACTCCCAGAAGTACAAGCTGGATTCCGAAGGGGCAGAGGAACTAGAGACCAAATTGCAAACATGCACTAGATTATAGAGTAAGCCAGAGAGTTCCAGAAAAACATCTACTTCTGCTTCATTGACTATGCAAAAGCCTTTGACTGTGTGGACTACAGCAAACTATGGCAAGTCCTTAAAAATGGGAGTGCCTGATCACCTTATCTGTCTCCTGAGAAACCTATATGTGGGACAGGAAGCAACAGTTAGAACTGGATATGGAAAAACTGATTGGTTCAAAATTGGGAAAGGAGTATGACAAGGCTGTATATTGTACCGCGGCTTATTTAACTTATATGCACAATACATCATGCTGGACTGGAGGAATCCTAAACCGGAATTAAGATTGCTGGAAGAAACATCAACAACCTCCAATACGTAGATGATACCACTCTGATGGCAGAAAGTGAATAGGAATCAAAGAACCTCATAATGAAGGTGAAAGAGGAGAGTGCAAAAACGGTCTGAAGCTTAACTTCAAAAAAACTAAGATCATGGCCACTGGTCCCATCACCTCCAGGCAAATAGAAAGGGAAGATATGGAGGCAGTGACAGATTTTACTTTCTTGGGTTCCATGATCACTGCAGATGGTGACAGCAGCCCCAAAATTAAAAGATGCCTGCTTCTTGGGAGGAAAGCGATGACAAACCTCGACAGCATCTTAAAAAGCAGAGACATCACCTTGCCAACAAAAGTCCAAATAGTCAAAGCTATGGTTTTTTCTCACTTCTGTACAGAAGTGAGAGCTGGACCATAAAGAAAGTAGACCGCCGAAGAATTGATGCTTTTGAATTGTGGTGCTGGAGGAGGCTCTTGAGAGTTCCCTGGACTCCTCCCACCCACATCTACCCGAGTCACCCGACATAGCCAGCAGGGACGGCTGAGGGGACTGACGCTGAGGGAGGCCCGGAAGGAGAAAACAAGAAACTGGGCCTTCTCAGCGGTTGCCCCTCAGCTGTGGAACACACTTCCCACTGAAATTCGGCTGGCACCTGTGATGAGACGGGTTTTTGAGTTAAAAACTTGTAAGGAATATGGGTTTTGTAATTAAGAAATGAGCAAGAGAGGTTCCATCTTATTTCTTTATATAAAGTATCTATGCTATGCTGACAGGTTGTTTTCTAGGTGAGCAGAGCGAATGTTATTCTGAGAACCTGAGAAAGAACTCGGACTGATTAGATAGATGGAAATTGTTGTGACTCTTTGCTAAACCACAGTACCCAAATAACATCTGGTGTGTATGGGAATGAAGTCATGTGGCGCAACAGGACTGTTTGCCTAGTAACAAACTCTGATTGGATGACATCGTGGGAAAGTGCGATAAGCCCTTGCCAGTTACTCTTGAAAAAAGAACTTTTTGCCTATGCACATTGTCTTTCAAGACCGACTCTTCAGTCATTCACGACTCATTCTAATGTCTTTCATGACCAACCCTGAAGTCTATCGTGACCACTCTTTACATGGACTGATCCTTATACTATACTGGATTACCCTTGGACCTATGGGCTTTTTCCTAAGGACTATGGATTATTTCTCTATGAACTCTTATTTTTGGAATACTTCATATGGACTATGCTCTTGTAATTTTGTAAGGACAATGGGACATTTACTGGATTTTTCTTTTTGGTACAGGATTTTTATTCTACAGAATCACTGAGGATTATAGCCTTTTTATAACATGCTTGGATTATTTTGTTTTCCTGATGAATTACTGGACTGGAACTGTTGTTATCCTTTTTAATGGCTTTTTGTATTCTTGTAAGGTTTTTGAACACTTTTCTATTTTTCATGTTTTCTTTGCATCACTACAGAGCTGTAAATAACTAACACAATGCTTATTTACTTGCCTTGGCTTAGTTTGGTTTTGATACCTAGTAACATGCTTATTTTTTTAATAAAATAATGATTATAAAAATCAATTGGTTTCCTGAACAGTACACTTGTCTCAGGGTCATCTGAGAATGGTGCCTCGACCTAGCATACTTAAGGAGTCCTGCCTGTGGTGCTAGTTAAGTCTAAGGACTACAAAGCCCACATGTTTTTTTCTTTTTCAGTAATATCTGATAGTAAAAGGGTGTTCTTATGTCGGCAGACTTGTAAGAAGGAGGGTTGTAGCACAGATAGCTGAGCTCCAGGATTCCCTCAGCCTATTTTAGCGTGTGCAAACTCCTGTCCAGACTTTCACGCGTTCTCCAGGGAACTGTGTTTGCTCACAGCACCCTCAGTGGGTGTGTTCAAAAACCAACTAAAAACATGGTTATTCAGACAGGCCTTCCCCCCAGTCACCTTAGTTCTTTCCCCCCCCTTTTTTTCTGGTTCTTAATGTTGCCATCTTGGATAGTATTAATTATAATAATTGCATTATGCTAGTTATTTTCTACATTGTTTTAACGTGTTTTAATTTTTGTAAGCCACCCCAAGTAGACGTTGTCTAGAGGGGCGGGGTAAAAATTGAATAAATAAACAAACAAACAAACAAACCTATCAATTCTAAAGGAAATTAACCCTGAATGCTCACTGGAAGGACAGATGCTGAAGCTGAGGCTCCAATACTTTGGCCATCTCATGACAAGAGAAGACTTCCTGGAAAAGACCCTGATGTGTGAAGGCAGGAGGAGAAGGGGACGACAGAGGATGAGATGGTTGGACAGTGAATTTGGCCCAGCTCCGGGAGGCAGTGGAAGACAGGAGGGCCTGGCGTGCTCTGGTCCATGGGGTTACGAAGAGTCGGACATGACTAAATGACTAAACAACAATAGGAAATATTGTACAACTCTCACTACAGGAAGGTCTGGACTCTCTCCCAAGTCAATTTCCTTAGCAACAGTGCTGTGGTGGGAAGAAGCTGCAGCTTTAACTACTGATTGCTGTGCCCTATCATGCTGCCAACCTAGCAGTTCAAAAGCATGTAAAAATGTGAGTAGATAAATAAGGTACCACTTTGGTGGGAAGGTAAGGGTGTTCTGTGTCTAGTCGCGCTGGCCACATGACCACAGAACGCTGGCTCTATGGCTTGGAAACGCGGATAAGCACTGTGCCCTAGAATTGGACATGACTGGACTAAATGTCAAGGGGAACCTTTACCTTTACTATCATGCTGCACACAAGACACTTTCTTATGCTGACTGGAATTTCCATCTTTCTGCTGTTTAAAATCCCTATTATTTTGAGTCTCACACTGAGCCCAAAATCTGACCTTTCTTTCCACACGCATAACATTGTTTACTGGCCTTGGGTTCAAAACAGAGGGCCTTGTTAACTTTTCCATCAGGATTATTAGGTTTCAGATGACTGTTCTCTGGAGGTGAGGATCTGTCTCCAAAATGGTTTCCAGTAGCTTGGGTACTTCTGAGGTAATCTCTACTGGGTGGGGGTCCTCTCCTCCTGTTGTCCCACACTTTTCTATCAATTTTTACCTCAGAAAATTGATGATCTCTAATCTCACTAATGGAATCAGCAAATTCACATGCCTGTAATACATTTTTAGGATTTTTGTTCTTGACCAAATGATGCAATTCCCCTGGCAACACTGAATAAAATTGTTCTAAACTAATTACATTTTGGTCTAGAGAAGTGACATTTTCACATTCCATCCATTTGTCTAAACATTTAATGAATTTAGCCCCCACTTGGGCTTAAGATTCTTCAAGCCTTTTGGCAAGGGAACAAAATTTTCTTCTAAGGTATTCTGCATTTATAAAAAGATACTATTTTTCTATGTCCCTCAAAATCTCTAGCTTGTTCCAGAGGCATCTGTGAATAAAGCTCAGCTAAATCTCCACTTATTTGTGACCTCAAA